TCTGCACTGTGTGTGAAACAGAGCTTTGTGATGTGGTGACGTCTCCTGAAGTACCCAGGATGCATCAGTCTCTGGGTGACGTTGTTGCCTGGCACCCCACATCACTGACAGTCTTTTCTCTCTCTCTCAGTAGTCTCTCTCCTGAACATCCATCAAGTTCCATCATCAAGTTACTACCTCCTTCTGAAGTCCACTAGCTTCCTTCCTTGTCTCCTTTCCTCCTGGAACAGATACTTGTTAAGCTGCAGCCTCAATGGCTATCTCTCTCTCTCTCTCTCTCTCTCTCACTCTCTCAATTCAATTCAATTCAATAAATGCTTTATAGGCATGAATGGGTGGTTAGGTCATTCCATGTCATTTCAGCAAGCCATGACATCCACCATCTCAGATTGTTCTAAAATAATTTCTGTAGTTAGAAACAGATGAGATTAGCATTCCAGCGACATTATTTTGTTGAAATATAATTTGATCTCTGAGAAATTAAGCTAATTGATTGCACCCAAATTAGCCATTTTAATTGATAGGATTCATATAATATTCAATAAATATAGTATCTAACATCCGATTTTGACGAAACTTTTTTCTAACACGAGTAACCCAAAGAAGTTGTCAAAAGCCACCCATGGACCCTCCACACCCCACCCCAACCACAAGTATATAGTATCAGTTCTCTATGTCTGACCAGTAGTATGGAGCTGTGGCTCAGAGTATTGTTTCTTCATCCTTTGTAATGTGTTCCCAGTGAATTTGGTGATGTTTTTTTTCCCCCTGTTCAGAGAAATTAGTCATTGAAGTTGTTAGGTTTATGTCCTAGCCTACATCCTGTTATTAACAGGTTCTGACCACTAGATGGTGCTGTTCCTACGATTACGTTTAAAAATAATAATAATTAAGAAAGCCCCCAACCTCAAAGTTAAAGTGATCGTTCACCCAAATTACAAAATGACATTGGTTTCCTTACCCTGTAAGTAGTCTATGGACAAGGTATGACAGCAATTCCTGCTTTGGTTTAGTTTCCCTGGCCACTGTTTCAAATGATAACTTTTTAGCATTTGTGGCACAAATATTAGCATATCCAAATAATCTATAAGTAACATCGTTGAGTTACACAATACATTTTTAAAATGCTAATCTTATCTGTTTCTAACAACATAAATAATTTCAGAACAATCTTAGATGGTGTGTGTTAATCCACTTTGCCAAAGCAATGTATATGAAGTATTATATAAATGAACAATATGTTTGAGCAACAATGAAAATATATATCAACATAAATAATTATGCATGGAAAATAATACACAAAAAATCTAACAAACAGCAACAATTGAGAAATTAAATCTACAAGGGCTCATGACATGGCGGGAGCTATCGTTTCTCTTGTATTATGACATGCCAGGACATAATCTGCAGCAAGATTGACTGTCTCTACCGTTTTCCCCTAACAAAATGCAAACGTTCCCCTCAACAGGCAGTTCAAGAAATCCTGCAATTCTTCCTTTAAATTTCAGGCGGTAAATACCTGTGAGTCCTATTTGGAGCAGAGGAGTGAGAAGATCTGGTTCTCTGGTTCACCCGGCCCACAGTGCCTACATAGTCTTTCTTCTCTGACCTTCCATGTTTTTCTATGTCGTCCTGTCTCTATTGCCAGGCTATGGTCACTGACTCTTTACATTGCTAATGTCTTCCTTTGTTTGAATTCTTAGATTTTTGACAAGGTGTTGTGCTAATTTGATATCTCTATTTAGAAGTTTAATTTCGTTTTGCCAATAATTAGTGCATGTATTTTGGTTAGAGATTTCTGTTTTTTAGAATTTTGGGCAATTTGCTTGCTTGCTCTCTCTCTCTGTCTCGCTTTCAATTTCAATTTTCAATTTAAGGGGCTTAATTGGCATGGGAAACACATGTTTACATTGCCAAAGTAAGTGAAATAGATAATAAACAAAAGTTAAATAAACAATAGAAAATGTACAGTGAACATTACACTCACAAAAGTTCCAAAAGAATAAAGACATTTCAAATATCATATTATGTCTATATACAGTGTTATGATGATGTGCAAATAGTTAAAGTACAAAAGGGAAAATAAATAAACATAAATATGGGTTGTATTTACAATAGTCTCTCTTTACATATGTCTCTCTCTGTGTCTCTCTTTCTGTGTGTGTCTCTCTGTCTCTTTCTGTGTCTCTCTCTCTCTCTCTCTCTCTCTCTCTCTCTGTGTCTCTCTCTCTCTCTCTGTGTCTCTCTCTCTCTCTCTGTGTCTCTCTCTCTCTCTCTGTGTCTCTCTCTCTCTGTGTCTCTCTCTCTCTGTGTGTCTCTCTCTCTCTCTCTCTCTGTGTCTCTCTCTCTCTCTGTGTCTCTCTCTCTGTGTCTCTCTCTCTCTCTGTGTGTCTCCTCTCTCTCTGTGTCTCTCTCTGTGTGTCTCTCTCTCTCTGTGTGTGTCTCTCTCTCTGTGTCTCTCTCTCTATCTCTCTTGGTGTCTCTCTCTTTTCTCTCTGTGTGTGTGTGTGATCTAGCTCACTAGTTTACCTCGTCAGTGTTTCTGGATCATTTGTATGTTGAAAAAATTTGAAGCTCAGTTCTGGTGACTTTTTAAAAGGACTACTCCAAAATGAATGTAAACATAATTACGCTGACATCATCTAAAATATAATTTCCACCTCCACAATTGATCAGGTACGCTATTATCAGCTGTAGTCCAACTGATGCAGCATAGTGGCTATAAATAAATAGTCTGAAGCATGGGGTTGCCTATCTGCATTTACCCTATTGGGCTGATCATTAGCTAGATCCCAAATGGGATATTTTAACTAGTTAGCATCCTATTGATGAATTTTATGTCCCCAAAAAACTTGCATAAGCACAGTGACTATAATGTAGGGTAACTTGGGGTAACATGCCCACTGCCCGTACATTCTCACAGAAACCACTTCAACCCTAAAAACTGCTGTTTTTCCCACAATTTGCAAGAATTGTTGACTTTGACTGCTTGTCAGAATGCATGTTACCCTCCCAATGGCACTCGTAATGTGAATGCGCCGCCAGAGGAATATTTATCCTGCATAGAACACAACAACAAGCTGACTAGGTAATAGATCCACTATTCTACTATGGGGTTGTCAGATTTCTTTTTTTTTTCATTTCTCATTTTTGTTTGCAGAGGAAAATTAAATGTGGAATGTTCTAGCATCTTCAAAGTCTCCTCGGCAGAAATATTTTTTAAATATTCCATATGTTTTGGGGGTGTGGCAGCAATGGTTTTGCCGTGGGGCAGCGCCACCATTAGATTATTGTAAAGGAAACACTGCACCTCTTATTCAAAGGCTCTTGGATGTTGTCAAACGGAGGAGGAGGAGGAGGAGGAGGAGGAGGAGGAGGAGAGTCACGCTGAGACCATATTCCACACCATCTGTTGTGTGGATGCTGCAGCATTAGGAGAGAGATGCAGGCATCAATCCCACACAATGGGGGGATATTGGCTCACTACCTATTAAAACAATGATATGATGATAGGATAGATTTTTCCCACTACATTACAGTACAACATAAACGTTTAGCTATGGTACATTTTAATCAACTTCTTACAGAAATGGCAAAAACTAGTATTCTCTCCTTGGAAAACCATGATGTGTCAGTGGCCTCTGTTTCTAACACAGCTAGAAGACCAAAGTGGCTGCTATATTAACTAGTTAACAAAACCATAGACAGACTGTGGTCCTGAACAACCTCTCGGCATGACTCGTGCGCACACACACACACACACACACACACAGTGACATACACACACACACAGTCACACAGAGTGGGAGAAAAGAGAAATGGAATCTGAGTCACGGCCACTAATTCCAGCAGGAAGGCAGGCAGGCGGCTCTAAAGATCCCTGGTGTCTGGAGGCTCGCTAGACTACAACCCTGTCCCTGACTGACTCCTCCTCTGACACTGTCCCATGTGTTAGATTCTAAAAAACCATTTCTCTGCAGTAGAAATACAGAATGTCTAGTCAAGGTCGTTGTTGGCCGCAGTAGATGGGCTCTTAGTCTTTAGGCGTTGGTACTGGGCTGGAACCAAGGCATGCTTAACCAGGACTGATGATCACTGAGCTAAACAGACCGATGAAGGGGATGTGATGAGGATGGAGGTCAGAGATGCTGTATGCTCGTCTAGATTAAATGAAAAAGCCTCTGGACTTGACTAACATTAGTTCAATCTGATGGGATTATATGTTTAGTCACTACTCTACAAATACATTATTCTCTCTCTCTCTCTCTCTCCCTCTCTCTCCCTCTCTCTCCCTCTGTCTCTCTCTCTCCCTCTGTCTCTCTCTCTCTCCCTCTGTCTCTCTCTCTCTCCTCTGTCTCTCTCTCTCTTCTCTGTCTCTCTCTCCCTCTGTCTCTCTCTGTCCTCTCTCTCTCTCTCTCTCTCTCTCTCTCTCTCTCTTCTCTCTCTGTCTCTGTCTCTCTCTCTCTCTCTCTGTCTCTCTCTGTCTCTCTCTGTCTCTCTCTGTCTCTGTCTCTCTCTGTCTCTTGCTCTCTCTCTCTCTCTCTCTCTCTCTCTCTCTCTCGGTCTCTTTCTGTCGTCTCTCTCTCTCTCTCTCTCTCTCTCTCGGTCTCTTTCTGTCTCTCTCTCTCTCTCTCTCTCTCTCGGTCTCTTTCTGTCTCTCTCGGTGTCTCTCTCTCTCTCTGTCTCTCTCTCTTGCTCTCTCTCTCTCTGTCCTCTCGGTCTCTCTCTGTCTGTCTGTCTCTCTCTCTCTGGTCTCTCCTCTCTCTCTCTCATCTCTCTCTCTGCTCTCTTTCTCTCTCTCTCCTCTTTCTGTCTCTCTCTCTCTCTCTCTCTGTCTCTCTCTCTCGTCTCTCTCTGTGTCTCTCTCTCTCCTCTCTCTCTCTCTCTCTCTCTCTCTCTCTCTCTCTCTCTCTCTCTCTCTCTCTCTCTCTTCTCTCTCTCTCCTCTCTCTCTCTCTCTCTCTCTCTCTCTCTCTCTCTCTCTCTCTCTCTCTCTCTCAGATCAATGAGTTGAGCCATGTTCAGATCCCTATCATGTTGATGCCTGATGACTTCAAGGCCTACTCCAAGATTAAGGTGGACAATCACCTATTCAACAAGTAAGTCTACACACAAACACTAATCCAGCGTTTCCCAAACTAGGGGTAGTGACCTCATGTGGGATCGCCTGATTTAAAAATAGGGTCTCTATCTTTTGAACGGTTTTAAGCTACAAAATATTATGACCCTCAGGACTCTCAGGAACGCGTATGTGTCTTCGGTTTCCCTCTACTATTCCCACAAGCTGGGCACTGAGTGGGAAAGACCAGGCACTACATCAGACTGATCATACAAAATAATTGCCTGATGATCTTCTGAACTTCCCAATACGTTTTGGATGCATTTCAGTCACTTCAAACATACTTCCTTCAGACTGAAATACTGTAAGACTGAAATACTGTCAGACTGGTTTGTAATAGACTGTCATAGTCCTGTTAGTAAACATTGTCTGTTGATTACATAACTGTTTTTTACATGTTGGGGTCGCAAACATTCTTTTGATATCAAAATGTGGTTGCGGGCCAAAAAAGTTTGCGAACCTCTGCACTAATCTAACCGCGATCTAATGTTAAATGTGTGTGTGTGTGTGTGTGTGTGTGTGTGTGTGTGTGTGTGCAGGGAGAACATGCCGAGCCATTTCAAGTTTAAGGAGTACTGTCCTTTGGTGTTCCGCAACCTCAGAGAGAGGTTTGGCATCGACGACCAGGATTTCCAGGTACACAGAGTGAACATTTCCCTTCTCCTCTCACACCCTCTCTGTCTGTCTCCCTTCTTCTTTCACTCCCTCTCGGTCTGTCTCCCTTCTTCTCTCTCTCTGTCTGTCTCCCTTCTTCTCCCTCTCCCTCTCTGTCTGTCTCCTTTCCTATCTGTCTCCCTTCTTCTTTCACTTCCTCTCTGTCTGTCTCCCTTCTCTCTCCCTCTCTTGTTATTTCCATTCTCCTCTCTCTCCTCTCTGTCTGTCTCCCTTCTCTCTCCCTCTCTGTCTGTCTCCCTTCTCTCTCTCTCCCTCTCTGTCTGTCTCCCTTCTTCTCTCTCTCCCTCTCTGTCTGTCTCCCTTCTTCTCTCTCTCCCTCTCTGTCTGTCTCCCTTCTTCTCTCTCTCCTCTCTGTCTGTCTCCCTTCTTCTCTCTCTCCCTCTCTGTCTGTCTCCTTCTTCTCTCTCTCCCTCTCTGTCTGTCTCCCTTCTCTCTCTCTCCCTCTCTGTCTGTCTCCTTCTCTCTCACCCTCTCTGTCTGTCTCCCTTCTTCTCTCTCTCCCTCTCTGTCTGTCTCCCTTCTTCTCTCTCTCCCTCTCTGTCTGTCTCCCTTCTTCTCTCTCTCCCTCTCTGTCTGTCTCCCTTCTTCTCTCTCTCCCTCTGTCTGTCTCCACTTCTTCTTCACTCCTCTCTCTGTTCTCCCTTCTTCTCTCACTCCCTCTCTGTCTGTCTCCCTTCTTCTTTCTCTCCCTCTCTGTCTGTCTCCCTTCTTCTCTCTCTCCCTCTCTGTCTGTCTCCCTTCTCCTCTCTCTCCCTCTCTGTCTCACTCCCTTCTTCTCTCTCTCCCTCTGTCTGTCTGTCTCCCTCATCTTGCCCTTTCTTTCATGTTTTATCTTCAAGTTTCTCTCCTTTCTTTGTCTGCCTGCCTGCCTAAAGCTCTATTCCCAGGGTAGTGTGTGTGTTCTGTGTTGGCATTATGGGAGGTCATTGGTTCTGGTCCTCTGCAGCTGTCTCATGTTTATATTACGGTGGAGGGGGAAGAACCACCCATGGAGGATGGAGGGGGCTAGAAAAGGGTGGGGTAGTTCTGGATCCGGGGTGGCTCTGGAGGGCATCAGCTGTGTGCCAGGAGGTAGGAGGGGTTCAGGGGGGGCAGGCGGGTGCCACAACCCCAGGGGAAGGAGGGGTGTCTGTCGACACTCACACACGGTGTTGCCGGTGTAGGGCTGGGCAGTTGGAGTCTGCAGTAGCAGGATAAAAGGCCTTGGTGGCCTGCCTGACTACAGTAGTCTGACACTCACACAGTCCGCCTCTCTCTCCATCTTTCTTCTCTCTCGCGCTCTCATTCTCTGTAGATTCAAACACTGTTTCCTATTTTTACAGAAATTAGTGATTGACTCTTTTCTCTCTTGCTGTAGAACTCCCTGACCCGTGCGGCTCCGTTGAACAGTGATGCCCAGGGTCGGAGTGGTGCTCGCTTCCACACCACCAACGACAAACGCTACGTCATCAAAACCATCACCAGCGAGGATGTGGCCGAGATGCACAACATTTTCAAGAAGTACCACCAGGTAGAGACGCGCGCGCGCGCACACACACACACACACACACACACACACACACACACACACACACACACACACACACACACACACACACACACACACACACACACACACACACACACACACACACACACACACACACACACACACACACACACACACACACACACACAAGCAAGCAAGCCTAAAGAAGTGCCAAAGTGAGTCTTACACCCCCCCCTCCCCCCCTCCCAGTTCATAGTAGAGTGTCATGGCAACACGCTGCTGCCTCAGTTCCTGGGGATGTACCGCCTCACGGTGGATGGAGACGAGACCTACATGATCGTCACCAGGAACATCTTCTCCCACCACCTCTCCGTCTACAAAAAATATGATCTGAAGGTAGGTGGGGAGATGGGGAGGGGGCAGGCAGGGCAGCAGTTGCAGGCTTACAAAAGGAAATAAATAATAACATGTCTGACATCTTTCTGTCTGTCAGGGCTCCACTGTGGCCAGGGAGGCCAGCGACAAGGAGAAGGTACAGTAATTTACACACACACAACCAGATCCGGACCTATACATGGTGTGTTTAATGTATTTATATAGACACTGATTGTGGATTCTGATTCCTGTCCACTCCCTGTACTATAAAAGCCATGTGTAGGGAGGGAGAGAGAGAGCTGTGTGTTCAGACCTGGTCATTTAAACCAACACAGCTTCTGTCCATTACCTACCTGACCAGCCCTTCTGTCTGGGGGGGGGGGTATTCAAACCATCCATCCTTTTCTGTTAAGACCCCTGCCTATACCTGCCCATTTTACTCCACATGCTATTGCACGCTCTGTGTCTTCAGTTCAGTTTGCTCCATCAGTTTACTACTGCTACAGCAGTCCCATCTCTTCCCCTGCTTGCTGTCTGTGTGTGAGAGACTGAGGTGTGTGTGTTTTACGTTGCTGGATTATTTGATCAGATGCTGTTTGTTGTATGAGGCGGTTTTCTGGTAATGAGAGCAGACTTTCTCTGAGTGGGAATTATTGAATGAATGATTCAGCCCATAGCCATACATTGTAAATATATGGCTTTGATTCAGCCAATGGCAGTTGTACAAACAGACCACAAGCTTTGTGATTCTGCAACCTTCCCTGTCGGCAGGAACTTTCCCTGCAGTGTGGAAAAGATTCTGAGTGTCACTGAGTGTGATATGGTATGAACTGGCTTGTGAGACTGTGTGAACTTTGCAGCATACTGTATTTGGACGTTGTGTGTGTAGTCAGGTCATCATTTGACCCTGAAAGGCCGGATCTTTCCTCTGGCGACTGTAGAAGCTCGGCCGGGTGGAACACCAGAACCAGCGGGGTGCTCTGAATATAGCCCTCTGAGGAAGAGAATAGAGTTAAATGGAAGTAGAGAAGCAGATGATTACACAGTACTCTCTCTCCTGTCAGCTGGTTTGTGAAAATACGTGATTAAAGTGACAATACTTATTGCTGACAGATCAGCGATAAGACTAGCCAAGATATGGAAGGACTTGAATTGTTCATTTTACTACAGCAACTACTACCACAAGAATCTACTACTGCTTCTGCCGCCGCTGCTTTTACCACATTTCCAGCGTTCACAGGCCTTCAAGTTGTGCTCTGTTTTGTCCCACAGGTTTAACAGACAATGTACACGCGTGTAAACGGGCATGCCTTGGCCTTAACAGACAATGTACACGCGTGTAAACGGGCATGCCTTGGCCATCCACCATCACTGTTCAATTACATGACTTGTGAATTAATTAAACGCCTTCTGACATCGAGTGTAGTCACGTGTGTGTATGTCCGGGCATGAGTACATGCACTCTCATGTTCAGACTGGCTTTAGAAACACACATTTCCTGCATTTCCTAGGTTATGTTGTGTAATTCCAGTCTGGATAAATTGTGACTGAGATGGATCCATAGACTGCTGTGTATTTATAAATACTGGAGGGGTGAATGAAGGTACAGTGTTGTTAGGTGGGGGTAATGTGTATAACAGTGGTATGGTGTCACACACAAACAACAAGCACTCTTGACTGACTGCATGCCCCCCCCCCTCTCTCTCTCTCTCTCTCTCTCTCTCTCTCTCTCTCGCTCTCGCTCTCTCTCTCGCTCTCTCTCGCTCACTATCTCTCTCTCTCTCTCTCTCATTTATATATTTATTTAAATATATATATATATGTGTGTATATGTGTTCTCTGCATGGTCCTGCATCTCTAGGCTTGTTTCTCCAACACCCCGACCAACCTCACCATGTGTGGAGACACCACTGTGTGCTGCATGCTGTGGACTCACGTCCTACTGTCCTCACATGGAACCTGGATTTTTGTTTACGTAGCTTCATTTGTTGAATACTCTGCCATGTGAGCTAGATTGTTGAGATATGACGTCACTTCAAATATATTCCACTTAGCAGACGCTTTGATCCAAAGCGACTTGCGGTACAGTGAGAGCATACAATTTAGTTTGTGTATGTGATCCCTGCGGGAATTGAACCTGCGACCTTGGCTTTTCTAGCAGCACTTGCCAGGCTGTACGCTCTTTAAGAAGCTCTCTCTCCTTGCCGCGCACTAAAGTAATACAGTTTGTGTATTTCTTAAACACTTTCCTTCCAACTTCCTTCCTTTCCCCGGCTCTCTCCTCTCCTCCTCCCTCCCTCGCTCCCCTCTTCTAGCAGCCACGCCCTCCTGAGGATGCGCCCCCGCGGCCCAAATCTAACGTTCAGCAAAGGCTGCAAACACTGCGGATCGCCACGCGCTTTTACTGCGCCATGAAACACGTAAGAGACGTAAGAAACAAGGCCAGGCATGCTCTCTATCTCTCTCTCTATCTCTCTCTCTATATATATATATCTCTCTTTCGCTCTCTCTCCCTCTCTCTCTCTCGCTCTCTCTCTCTCTCTCTTTTCTCTCTCTCTCTCTCTCGCTCTCTCTCTCTCTCTCTCTCTCTATATATATATATCTCTATATATATATCTCTCTCTCTCTTTCGCTCTCTGTCTGATCAATCGTATTGTAGAACCAAGGCCAGTCATACTCAATCTATCAGATCAATCGTTTCTCATTTTATTTTCATAGCTTTTTTCAGATTCATGTAACGACGGATACAGGACACCTGCAATGGACTGACGTGTAGTAAAGAGAGAGACGGACCTGGCTTATTCTGGAACACCTTTTCATACTGCTGTTTTCTTCCCTTTGGCTCTCAACCAATCACTTTCACTTCCTGTCCCTCTCAAAAACACACACAGATGATGCTGTACCTCAGGGAGTGTGTGTGTGTGTCTGAAATGGCACCCTATTCCCTAGATAGTGCACTACACCCCCTGGCTTAAAGTATTGCACTATATAGGGAATAGGGTGCCTTTTACAGACGCAGCCTGTGTGTAGCTGATACAGATGACCATTCAGTATTGACGGGCAGAGAGAGACACAGACAGCTGTTGTCTGAGCACAGCACCACTGGGCTACAGTGGATCACCACATGGCTACAGTGGATCACCACCTGGCTACAGTGGATCACCACCTGGCCTCTCCTTCCTGACTACTAATCACACTCCAGTTCTATCACTACGTGTTTACAGTTTAGTCATTTAGCAGACACTCTTATCCAGAGCCACTTACAGTAGTGAGTCATTTAGCAGACACTCTTATCCAGAGCCACTTACAGTAGTGAGTCATTTAGCAGACACTCTTATCCAGAGCCACTTACAGTAGTGAGTCATTTAGCAGACACTCTTATCCAGAGCCACTTACAGTAGTGAGTCATTTAGCAGACACTCTTATCCAGAGCCACTTACAGTAGTGAGTCATTTAGCAGACACTCTTATCCAGAGCCACTTACAGTAGTGAGTCATTTAGCAGACACTCTTATCCAGAGCCACTTACAGTACTGGAGTGCATACATTTTCCTACTTTTCCGTACTGGTCCCCCGTGGGAATCGAGCCCACAACCCTGGCGTTGCAAACGCCATGCTCTACCAACTGAGCCACACGGGACCATCATCACACCAACCTGTTTCTTTTTATTTACCTGGAGGTTTTGCTGTATATTTTGTGATACTCCAGTTGGTGATCTGGTGCAGTTCTCCTGTTCTCTCTCCCCAAGCTGAGGCAGTTTCACTATCCAGCATCACATCCGATGAGCGACATCACTCACATCCGATGTGTCACAAACTTCCTGTAGTGCATGTGATGATGGTGATGCCCATAGAGATCATATATGCAATTCTATGATGATGCTGTTCAAAAACGGACTTTGGTCACCTGACTGAAGGCCTCCTCCCCCCCCCCCCCCCCCCCCTCTCTCTCTCTCTCTCTCCGCCCCCCCCCCCCCCCCCCTCTCTCTCTCCTCTCCCCCCCCCCCCCCCCCCTCTCTCCCCTCTCCACCCCCTCCCCTCTCTCTTTCTCTTTTTCTATCACTTTCTTGGCTGTTTTCATCCTACTTCATCTGTTCTGCTTCTCTACCATATCACCCCAGTCTACCTCTGAACCATTATGTGCAGTACCTTATATACTGCTTGTATGGCCTTGTCTGTACTTACCTGAACTGATAATTGACCTATTAGAGGGGTTGATCAGGAAGATGGGTGTTTGGGAAGAGATTGAGGATGCATGGATAGAATGGGTGGCTGGATATCTGGAATGTATATTATTTTCAGGATGCTGTCAGTCGTTGGTACTAGTGTGTCTACCTGCTGTTTGACTCTCCACATTATTACAACGTTCACCCATTTGAGTGTGCAAGGGTGCCTCGGCCTTCACAGCATTGTTTGTGGTCTGTGTGTTTGTTGCTATATGTATGTGGGTTTGTGTCCATCTGTGACATAATTCTGTGTGTGTATCCATTGCCGTGTGTTCGATCTTGGCTCAGTGTGTGTGTGTGTGTGGCTGATTTCCTGGTGCTGCTGTAGAATTGCTTCTGTCAGCTCCCTGAGCAGAGCTGCTGCTGTGACCTCATTTCCTGCTCACACCTTCCTCAGTGCCACAGAATAATGCCCCCTCCTGACTCACATTACACACCAGCGCCCCCTCACAGACCACAGGCCACACATGGTACTGCAGCCAGATGGCCCAATGGAAACTCACATGCCCCATAGAGCTCCCGCTGTCTGTTTCGAACTGCTGCTATGTGGGTGTCACAGAAAAACATGATTCATATCACTTTATTCAATTAGTCAGTCAGTTAGAGGATCATTTTAAAGAGTGTAAATTCTGGCTCTTTTTCTTAGTAGTGCAAATAGCTATAGAGTCCAGGTGTGTCCTCTGCTGTCCTGACTGTGTTTTGTCTGTGCGGGGCGTCAGGCCAAGGAGCTGCCCACCTACAAGGACAACGACTTCATCAACGATGGACAGAAGATACACATCGACGACGACAACAAGAAAATGTTCCTGGAGAAACTACATAAAGACGTGGAGGTGTGTGTGTTGTGTGTGTGTGGTTCTGTTATTTCCTCTGATGTGAGGGAGTGAATACTTGGGTCTGGATTCATCCGGTCTCCCTCTTACCCAACATGATTTTCTCCTCTTTTTCTCTCTCCGTTAATTTATTCTGTGTGTCTACGCCCTCTCCCTCCCTCCCTCCCTCCCTCTCTCCCTCCAGTTCCTGGCCCAGTTGAAGCTGATGGACTACAGTCTGCTGGTGGGGATCCATGACGTGGAGCGGGCTGAGCAGGAGGAGGTGGAGAGTGAGGACAACGAGGGGGACGATGAAGGGGAGAGTGATGGAGGAATAGGCTCTCCCCCTGACTCCCCCAGTAACACCCTGGACAGCACCAAGCCCCTGTCCCCCGGGGAGTTTGACCCCACCATAGACGTCTACGCCATCAAGAGCAATGACGGTGAGTGGAGAGAAAGGGAGAGAAGGACGGGTACAGGAGACTAAAAATAAAAAGTTGGTCAGAAATGCCAAATAGATGAGCAGTATGGTTGACAGTCCTTGTAGCTCTCTGGTATCCCTCATGTTATGTCATTACAGATATAGGGATTCTCTTGTGTGTCTGTGTGTTCAGGTGCTCCTAGGAAGGAGGTGTACTTCATGGCGGTCATTGACATTCTGCAGCATTACGATGCCAAGAAGAAGGCCGCTCACGCTGCCAAGACCGTCAAACACGGAGTGAGTGAGTGAGTGAGTGAGTGAGTGAGTGAGTGAGTGAGTGAGTGAGTGAGTGAGTGAGTGAGTGAGTGAGTGAGTGAGCCTGCGCCTTGTTTGGTGTGATTGTTGTGTGATTGTGTTTCTTCCCTTGACTGACTGTCCTGCACCATGTGTGTCTCCCCTGCAGGCAGGAGCTGAGATCTCCACGGTGAACCCAGAGCAGTACTCCAAGAGGTTCTACGACTTCATCACCACCATTCTCTCATAGCCTCCGGGAGTAGACGGGGGGGTTGAGAGTGGAGGTGGTTTTGATCTCTCTCCCCATATCTCCGTCAGCAGGGGTGTCCCTCTGCACCTAAAACCATAATTTGTTTACATTCATCTTCTCTGTTGATTTGATCTCTGTTACATTGGACCATAAGGTGTGATTGGAGAACAGGTGTGTCTTCTCTGTTGACTTGATCTCTGTTACATTGGACCATAAGGTGTGATTGGAGAACAGGTGTATCTTCTCTGTTGATTTGATCTCTGTTACATTGGACCATAAGGTGTGATTGGAAAACAGGTGTGTCTTCTCTGTTGACTTGATCTCTGTTACATTGGACCATAAGGTGTGATTGGAGAACAGGTGTTCTAGGTTCTAGTCAGTACTTTTGTATTTGTTTGTTTTGTTTACTTTAGGAATATGGCTTTTTTTTACCACCAGGTCCTCACCCTGCATTGTTGTTTGTTTGTTGTTCTGCATTCCCCTTTGGGAGGGGGTGGGGGATTAGATAACAATAGTGAGGTCACTCTCGGAGTAAATAGTACAGGTAGAAGTAAACAGGAAGTGCACCTTGAGGCTCATCCAATCGCTCGTCTTAAGGAAGTAGGAAGTATTCTTCCAATAGGCCATCAGCCAGACCATCCAATTGCCATTTAGCACAGCCCTGCCCAAGCCAAAACTACCTTCCTATGTGTCCCCTCATCCATCACTCCCTCCATATACAAGAGAAGTTAGGATAAGCTGTGTTTAGTAAGGCAGGGGGCTGGTCAGTAGTGCAGTGTGTGTTAGTGGAAGTAGTGAGCGCGCTGGCTGAGTACACGTTAAGATGAGTGAGGATGAAGAGAGGAGAATAGCAGGGTACCTAGAATTACATAAGGAAGGACGGCCAGAGAGGATGCAAGAAATTGCACGGCTGACTGTTCCAACAGTTTCATTCAGTTCCATTTATTGGGCAGAGTTCCATTGGGCTTTAGAGATTCACCACATCACTGACTGATCGGATTTATGTCATTCTGGCAGGCTACCAGAAAGTGGCATTAGCAAGTTGGTGTATCTGACTTCCTGTGGGACAAGGCAGGGTGGTGGTGTGATACTTCATAGACCTTTGACCCTGAATTGCCATCAGCACCTTAAACAAATTGTTGCACTTTTATGTTAGAGATAGGATATCTCGTTCTGTTACATGCACCACATCAAAAGCACTGTTTGGAGCTATCGAACTCAGTCCCAAGATTTCTGATAGGGTTGTAGGAGGGACTAGGGAAAGTGTCTAGACCGGTGGCGGCTAGGGTGTAGTAGGGATTAGAAGTAGATTTGGGACGGGGCCTGAGTGTAGTGCACAGCAGAGAGAGAGGGGTGCGTTCAGGACAGATGGACAGACAGCCTAGTGTTTACCTCTGGCATCGTACCAGCACACACCAGCCTGAACCAGAGTCTTACCCACATCTCTGTCTGTCTCAGGGGTCTCCAACCCCGGCCCTGGAGAGGTACTGGGTATGCAGGCTTTTACTCCTGCCCAGCACTAACACACCTGATTCAGCTTATTGTGGTCCAGACTGAAGACTTTGATTAGTTGGTTATTTGAATCAGGTGTGTTACAGCAGGGCTGGAACAAAAGCCTTCACGACTAGTAGTGTTCCAGGACGGAGATGGAAAACCCTGAGACAGTCAAATATCTGTATATAAGGTTCAGGCCTGAATCAGCTGTGTGTCTCAGTATTTCATGAGAGGGAGAGAGGGAGAGAGGGAGAGAGGGAGAGAGGGAGAGAGAGAGGGAGGGAGGGAGGGAGGGAGGGAGGGAGGGAGGGAGGGAGGGAGGGAAGAGGTGCTGGGTTGTAGAAAAATATACTTTTGTTGTTTAAGTGGTGACGTCATGCCAACCTGTCAGCCTCTCCTTTTAACATTGTTGTCTGCCTGTTATTCAGACTTTTGTTGCGACGTTGAAAGGTTGTTTTATCTCTGATTGAATTTGCCGGGGTTTGAATTGAGGTGGTACATTTTTATATTTTGCACAGAAACTAAAACGAACCAAATGTAATCCATACAATCGCGACTGGTTGACGTGGTCTTAACAAGGGAAACGACTGGTTGACGTGGTCTTAACAAGGGAAATGACTGGTTGACGTGGTCTTAACAAGGGAAACGACTGGTTGACGTGGTCTTAACAAGGGAAACAACTGGTTGGCGTGGTCTTAACAAGGGAAACGACTGGTTGGCGTGGTCTTAACAAGGGAAACGACTGGTTGGCGTGGTCTTAACAAGGGAAACGACTGGTTGGCGTGGTCTTAACAAGGGAAACGCAATATCATTATGCCTGTTCCAGAGCCATATACAGTGGGGGAAAAAAGTATTTAGTCAGCCACCAATTGTGCAAGTTCTCCCACTTAAAAAGATGAGAGAGTCCTGTAATTTTCATCATAGGTACACGTCAACTATGACAGACAAATTGAGATTTTTTTTCTCCAGAAAATCACATTGTAGGATTTTTAATGAATTTATTTGCAAATTATGGTGGAAAATAAGTATTTGATCACCTACAAACAAGCAAGATTTCTGGCTCTCACAGACCTGTAACTTCTTCTTTAAGAGGCTCCTCTGTCCTCCACTCGTTACCTGTATTAATGGCACCTGTTTGAACTTGTTATCAGTATAAAAGACACCTGTCCACAACCTCAAACAGTCACACTCCAAACTCCACTATGGCCAAGACCAAAGAGCTGTCAAAGGACACCAGAAACAAAATTGTAGACCTGCACCAGGCTGGGAAGACTGAATCTGCAATAGGTAAGCAGCTTGGTTTGAAGAAATCAACTGTGGGAGCAATTATTAGGAAATGGAAGACATACAAGACCACTGATAATCTCCCTCGATCTGGGGCTCCACGCAAGATCTCACCCCGTGGGGTCAAAATGATCACAAGAACGGTGAGCAAAAATCCCAGAACCACACGGGGGGGGGGGGCCTAGTGAATGACCTGCAGAGAGCTGGGACCAAAGTAACAGAGCCTACCATCAGTAACACACTACACCGCCAGGGACTCAAATCCTGCAGTGCCAGACGTGTCCCCCTGCTTAAGCCAGTCCAGGCCCGTCTGAAGTTTGCTAGAGTGTATTTGGATGATCCAGAAGAGGATTGGGAGAATGTCATATGGTCAGATGAAACCAAAATAGAACTTTTTGGTAAAAACTCAACTCGTCGTGTTTGGAGGACAAAGAATGCTGAGTTGCATCCAAAGAACACCACGCCTACTGTGAAGCATGGGGGTGGAAACATCATGCTTTGGGGCTGTTTTTCTGCAAAGGGACCAGGACGACTGATCCGTGTAAAGGAAAGAATGAATGGGGCCATGTATCGTGATAGTTTGAGTGAAAACCTCCTTCCATCAGCAAGGGCATTGAATATGAAACGTGGCTGGGTCTTTCAGCATGACAATGATCCCAAACACACCGCCCGGGCAACGAAGGAGTGGCTTCGTAAGAAGCATTTCAAGGTCCTGGAGTGGCCTAGTCAGTCTCCAGATCTCAACCCTATAGAAAATCTTTGGAGGGAGTTGAAAGTCTGTGTTGCCCAGCGACAGCCCCAAAACATCACTGCTCTAGAGGAGATCTGCATGGAGGAATGGGCCAAAATACCAGCAACAGTGTGTGAAAACCTTGTGAAGACTTGCAGAAAACGTTTGACCTGTGTCATTGCCAACAAAGGGTATATAACAAAGTATTGAGAAAACTTTTGTTATTGACCAAATACTTATTTTCCACCATAATTTGCAAATAAATTCATTAAAAATCCTACAATGTGATTTTCTGGATTTCCTGTAAAAAAAGAAAAATCTAATTTTGTCTGTCATATATATATATATATATATATATATATATATACACACACTACCGTTCAAAAGTTTGGGGTCACTTAGAAATGTCTTTGTTTTCGAAAGAAAAGCAATCTTTTGGTCCATTAAAATAACATCAAATTGATCAGAAATACAGTATAGACATTGTTAATGTTGTAAATGGCTATTGTAGCTGGAAACGGCTGATTTTGTTTAATGGAATATCGACATAGGCGTACAGGGGCCCATTATCAGCAACCATCAGTCCTGTGTTCCAATTTTCAGAAATTGCCAAGAAACTGAAGATCTCGTACAACGCTGTGTACTACTCCCTTCACAGAACAGCGCAAACTGTCTCTAACCAGAATAGAAAGAGGAGTGGGAGGCCCCAGTGCACAACTGAGCAAGAGGACAAATACATTAGTGTCAAGTTTGAGAAACAGACGCCTCAAAGGTCCTCAACTGTCAGCTTCATTAAATAGTATCCGCAAAACACCAGTCTCAACGTCAACAGTGAAGAGGCGACTCCGGGATGCTGACCTTCTAGGTAGAGTTGCAAAGAAAAAGCCATATCTCAGACTGCCCATCTTAATCTTTTATTTTTATTGGCCAGTCTGAGATATGGATTTTTCTTTGCAACTCTGCCTAGAAGGTCAGCATCCCGGAGTCGCCTCTTCACTGTTGACGTTGAGACTGGTGTTTTGAGGGTACTATTTAATGAAGCTGCCAGTTGAGTACCTGTGAGGTAGTACACAGCGTTGTATGAGATCTTCAGTTTCTTGGCAATTTCTCACATGGAATAGCCTTCATTTCTCAGAACAAGAATAGACTGACGAGTTTCAGAAGACAGTTATTTGTTTCTGGCCATTTTGAGCCTGTAATCGAACCCACAATTGCTGATGCTCCAGATACTCAACTAGTCTCAAGAAGGCCAGTTTTATTGCTTCTTTAATCAGCACAACAGTTTTCAGCTGTGCTAACATAATTGCAAAAGGGTTTTCTAATAATCAATTAGCCTTTTAAAATGATAAACTTGGATTAGCAAACACAACGTGCCATTGGAACACAGGACTGATGGTTGCTGATAATGGGCCTCTGTACGCCTATGTAGATATTCCATTAAAAATCAGCCATTTCCAGCTACAATAGCCATTTACAACATTAACAATGTCTACACTGTATTTCTGATCAATTTGATGTTAATTTAATGGACAAAAA